TCTGTAGTTATTGAGGATTTTTCATCTCCAGCAAGTCCTGATTTATCTCCCAGCTCCGTAGAGCTGTGCCGAGGCGATGCCCCAGTGCTGCTTTCCATCCCTTATTTTGGGGCTGGAGGCATCTCAGTGATGTTCCTGCTGCCCCTTGAAGCCCTTCCTCACCAGCACCACCACGGCAGCAGCTTTCGGGTACCCAACTCTAGCCTCCATCAGCAGAGCATGGCTTAATAGGAAGAGAGGTGATTTTTTGATGGTGACCTATTAGAAAAATGTTAGTTTCCTCCTGTCCTTTGGCTTCAGGGGACAGAAGTCTCCTGGAATATGTCTGCCTTCAGAAATCTTGCTGAAATAAGTCCTTGGTGTTGCACCTAGTGTGCACGCTGTGCTGCCACACTCTTATCTCCTTAAAAAAATGTATATATAATATATTTGCATATATAATACACAAATCTAATTCCTCCTAAGTTTATCTAGTGCTTTTTCTTTTAAATACACGGAAAATCTCTTACAATGGCTGATTTGTCTCCCAGTGACAGTGTCACCTCGCGGTGCTGAAAGCTGTAAGGACAAGAGACACGGAGAGCTTGGAGTCAGTGTGCAAGGCAGTGATGGATAAAGACAGAGGAGGAAACCCCAGGTTTCATCAACTGAGAACTAAAGCATGGAGAGGGCAAGCCCAGATCCCCAGAAAAGTCTCCGGCAGAGATGGGAATTAACCCCGAGTCTCCAGAGGCATAGTTCAGCACTTGATCCATCACAATTTCCTTTTGCATCCGTTTATTAATGATTATTTGGGGGTTTCCTCTTGCAGGGAGGAAGGGAGCAAGAATTAAAGTGCAAATAGGTATGAGCTGCTCCCTAATGTTACCTGTGGGACACAGCGAAGGTTTCAGACTGCATCTTTTCCAAATACGAGTTTTTCTCCCAGCAGAGCTGTAAAATTTCTCCGTGAGCCTTTCCCCTTTCCCCGTTAAGCAAACACGTACAGCGCTGGATGGAAAGCGTGAGCGTGTTGCAGGTTTATTTCCCGGGTTCGGGCTGCACCGGAGCCGAAGCAGAGCCTGTAACCTTAGATTGATTTTTCTCCTTGTGCTATTAAATCATTCAAATCTGTTAGCAGTCGCTCCGCTCGAGCAGGGAGCGGGCAGGACGTGCTATTGTAGACCTTGATTGGTTACAGAGGTTTGTTTATGGGCGCCGCGGCAGGTTTTGTTTAATATTCCCGAGGTCTGGGAATTTACATCCATCGATTTACAAGGCACAAGCTGTCAAGAGGCACCGGCATCGCATCGAATTGCAAAATGATTGAAATCATGGGCGACAACTACTGCGTTAAGTTTATTTTTCTCAGGTTTGCCGGAATGAAATGCGCCTTCTCCTTGGAGTGAGGTATCTTGGCCGTGCTTACAGCAAGCAAAAGAAATCCCAGACAAAACCGTAATTATTATCCAGCAGCACGGGAAGCCGACGTAAGACAACTGAAATTCATCTGTTTGGGCTGCAAAATGATGAGGGGCTATGGAGCCGGTTGTTGGCTGCTGCTTACCCAACCGCTGGGTATTTTCTTGGCTTGGAGGGCTCGTGGTTGACGTGGTCTAAATGGGCCAAGGTCCTTAAGAAAGGGAAGAAGAAACAGATGGCTGTGAATTTTGTTTTGTTTTATTGTGGTGCTGCTTCTCCAGCATTTCAGCTGGAGATACCTCCTTCAGCTCTTCGGGTCCAGAGGCATTCTGGTGGGTTGGAGGTCCTTCGGTGCAGGGTCACCCTTCGATCGTGTCTGCCCAAAGAACTGGCCGCCTCCAAAACCAATTCCAAATTACTTTTTTATTCAATACCCCGTAATATTTTAGGCTCTGATTATCTTAGGCAGCTACAACTCCTTCTGTGGGTTCGTGTTTCCTGAGCGAGACTTAAAGAAATGGGATTTTCTCCTTGGCTAGCACAGCAGTGGGACGATCCTTCTGGGATGTGCAAAGAAGGAGAAAGGACAAGTGGTGGGCTCAGAAAGTCTTTTAATCCAAAAAAAGCAAAGGTACACTTCAGTGCTCTCATATTGCAAGGGAGAAAAGGAGACAGATGCCCCAAGCCAGCACTCGATCTTCCTCCTTCAGTGGGGGCACTGAACACCCATAAAAACAAAGCCAGGAGTGCTCCGGCTTTAAGCAAGGCACAGATCATCCCCGTCTCCCTCCTCCTCTTAACTCCGCTGACAAATATAATTACAGCTTCACTTAAATTGCTGTAAATGAATTCTGGAGAGCAGAAAAAAAATGTGTGTCTATCTCTCCCGTGCAGAAATTAGCTGACTCCTGCATTTCGGTTGATGGGTCCATCCATCTCCATCGCTTGCAGGGAAGCACTGCGGGAGCGTTCCTGCGGCGTAACAGCAAGTGCAGCTCCAGGAGCAAGACCCCTAGAAACCTGTCAAAATTTAGTTTTTTATACTAAAAATAATTTTTTCCCCCACCAGAATATAGGGAAGGTTTCCTGCCTTCTGCTGTGACCTGATAAGGACACTTAGACCTGATGCTGCTTGATCCCAAAGTCCCGCCACCCCCAGGGAAACCAATGTCACTGGGGGGCTTGAAGGGTGGGTGGCAGCTGGGCAAACAGCGCTTCCAAAGCGCCTCCCCCAAGTCATCTCCCAACGCCGTTATCTGGAAGTAGAGGCTGTGTAAATAAGCCATTCAACCCACCGATAATTTGATTTTGTTTTGTTTTCTCACCAAGCAGAACGATGCTTGGAGAAGTGTCGGAGTGTGCCGGGGCCGGGGCGGAATCCTTACGGTGAACGGATTATTTCTCTTTAACACTCTGGGCCAATTAATTATTTTCAGCCGTATTTGCCAAGCTCTGAATTTCTTTGCCCATTGCTGCCTCTTTGTTAGGATGAAACTTCATGAAAATTGCTGCGATTGGAGGAGTTGCTGAAGGAGGCAGCTTCCCGGAGTTGTGTTGTACTCGGCTTTGTCCAGGCAGGGTTTTTCCTGTTGTAATTCACAGTAAAATTAGATGCACAATTAGGCACTTGTACTCCAATTGGACTTGTCTGTCTTAAATGTTTACCTCTATTTCAACCTGCTTCACACAAAAAAGATTGGGACTTTTTATCTCTTTGTCTTGGTTTTGCTTTTCAGGCTAGATCTGAAGGGGTGTTTAATTTTAGGAGCCAATCCAAAGCTCCGCGTAGGTTCCCCTTTCAAAGCAGGTCTTTGGCTACACAAACAGAGCCAAGTGCCATTTATTTAATCAGTCTCCATCACAATGAGAGTTTGTTGTCAACAGTTCCTTGGTGAGGTACAAATCCTTCCTGCGCCGAGTTGCGTTGGTGGCTGGCTGAGTGTTTGTCATGTACCCAACAGCAGTGCAAGGAGAGGGAAAACAAGAAATTTCTCACTGCCAGCAAGTACCTCCGTTATTCAGGTCGATCACAGAACAAATATGAGCTGAAAATGTAAATCAATTAAAAAAACAGATACCAGAGCCAAAAAAAAATAAAGTATTTCGGAGGGAGATGGGAAAGCTCTAGCCCAGTTGTGGCAGTAGTAAGAGCTCGAACACAGCACTCAGCTGTGGTCACTTTTGCTCAAGAATATATAATTGAGACTGGAAAGGGTGTAGAGAATTGCTTTTGGGTGAAGAGGGGTTGGAAAGCCTTTCTCAGAGGCAGAAGATAAAGCAGGTTGCTTTGCCCACCTCTCCAGGAGTTTAGCATGGTAGCGTAGCAGAAGCTAAATGCCAGCGATGGCAAACTCCACAAGGCAAAGAGTAATGCTGGCATATGAAGAACCAAAAATATAACATCAGGGACCACGTTTAGGCTGGAATTTAGTTCCTAGCCTCCAGCTTCACTGCCAGAGTTTTTCCAGGAGCCACCAAGGGAAGCAAGGAAGGTAGAGACTTGAATGACTTCCATATGGCATACGAGTTCCTATTCAAGGCCATGGGACACAGCGCTTGTGGGGCCAGACGTGGTGACCCAGGACATCCCTTGCCATCACACTGTTTAATTTAGCTGGAAGGTGCCTAGGCAGGTCTGCTTAATTTCAAACATCACTAATCGCCCTATGCAAGAAGTCATTTCTAAAGGGTTACTTAAATGAGGATTTGAACTCAGATGTTTGAGATATTTTTCCTGTAATTAGGGTAGAATTTATGATAACTGTGATTTAAAGAGGTCTCAGTGGGAGGGATACGGATGTATCTGCAGAAGTTAGACCTGGTTAGGCCATCGTTGGGGATGGTATTTGCAGGACAACAATCCCATGGCCAAGCTACTCTTCTCTTCTTTGCTGCCCACGCAGCAGAAATACCACTTGTCTCGTGGCTCTCAGTGGGGTGGTGAGAAGTAAATGATGAAATGGCTCCGCTTTCTAGGACTTCTGTAAATGTGGCACGTGCTGAATAAAGAGGGTTTTTTTTTCCAGTTGTCTGGTGTGCAGGAACAGCACCTTTCTTCAGGTGTCAGCTTTGGAGACAGCTCCAAGAGCAACCCATATCTGTTGCCTGCTGTTTGCTTCACTGCATTAAGAGTTGTGTTTTATTCACAAGAACAAAGAAGGCTCCCAGATGCTTGTGGAGGGATGGGTCAAACAAAGGTTTACTTGAAATTCTCCTGGGGAAGTCTGAGGTGACCAAAAAGGACCATCTGTGCTTTCGGTGCCGTGCTTTGGCTTCAGAGCAGCTTTTTCCTCACCCCATGCAAAGTAAGATAAATGTTCCTGGATTTTGCAAGTGCAGAAATACTCATCACGGAGCAATATCTTCCAAGCAAATGTATTCTGGTGGTTGATTAAACCCCTCAGATTCATTTTGGAGTTTAATCAATTGCAGAAGCAGTTTGTTGCTTCTCACGCTCCCGAATTACAGACTTCATTGCTCAGCCAAAGGTGGACGAGAGCGGGCGCGCTTAGGATGGAAGCAGTTGAGACGCCGTAGCTGCTAAAGCCAAGTGGTATTGATGAAATATGTCACGAATTAATCCTGTCTTCTCTTTCTAGCCATGTCTCCTGGCCAGGACAGCCACGCCAGTATGGAGCACCTCCCTGCATCCGAACAGATCCTGCAAACCCTGAGCGAGCTGGCCAAGTCTTTCCAAGAGATGGCTGACCGCTGCCTGCTGGTGCTGCATTTGGAAGTCAGGTAAAAGCCCTGAATTTGGGGATTGTGAGTGAGCTAGCGAGGGCTACAGGTTAGGATTGTGCCCAGGGAACACGTTATGGCACCTGAGACAGGTATATTTGCCTGCTGTAGCATTGAAGAGATCAAAGGCGTGCCCAGAAATGCCAGGTCCCATCACCATGGATGGCCAAATGAGGGATAGAGGCAGGATACCGAAACTGGAATTTCATAGAGGGGTCTGCATCTTGTGTCAAAAACTAGGAAAAATGGGTTTTCAGAGTCTTTGTCCTTAGATAATTGCACAGTGCTTTTAAAATCTAACAGGTGTCTGCATATTTATCAGCCATTGAGCTTTGGCTGGCAGATAGGAGCTTTTCTTGCTCCTTTTTCAAACAGTAACAGAAACTGGGGAAGAGGAGGCAAGCACCAGCTGGATTTTCTAAAGGGCTGGATAGTTTTATGATGTCTCTGACTACACATGCAAAGATCAAAAGCAGCAAAACCCTTTCTTCAAGCTGCCAGCTGTCCACTCCGGGGCTGGGACGACATTTGTCCCTTGTGCGTCGTGTTGGCCAGGTGTGTTTTCATTGCTTCCCTTCCTCTGAAGCATCAAATGTGAGCGGGTGTCAGAGACAGGCAATGAGACTCGATGGGCCGTTGGTTTGTTCTGCTTTGACATATCCTGAGCCATAATTGCGTCCTCCTGTACGCTGGCAGAGCTCTCGTGAAGGAGCTTTAAAAAAATCCGCATTAGTTATTGTCAGCAGCCCTTCACCCTGCCATCCATCACCTGCTGGCCACTTGGTTGCAAGCATCACAAATGAGCTGGGGCTTGAAGGATTTGAGGAAAAGAGTGTTAAAAGTAGGGAAATGGAGCAGCTTTCCAGCTGCGATGTGGTGCAAGGTAACACAGCCAACCTGGGGCTCGTGGAATGGGTTTCTGGCCGCAGTCCTCTGTGGAGTTCCCTCACAGGTGGGTGAAGCAAAATAAGTGCAAGTGGAAGTCAGGACAATTCTTGCTGGGATGTTGGAGTAAAACACTGCCATCCTCCTCCAGTGCTTCTATCAGCATCCCAAGTTTGATGCTGTAAATACACCGTAGAATGTAAATCCTTGCAACGGGTGGCAAGGAGTGAGAAGGAGAGATGCTGCACCCAGGAGGATCCCCAGCAGGGTAGAAGCTCCCCTGCATTCATCACACCCCATTCACAACCCCCTGCAGCAACAGAGCAAAATCCCAGTCCCTCTGGTGGCTGCTCAGAGCAGATTTCTCTGCGTTCCTATGCCAGATCCCCAGATCCGTGCCACTTGCAAGGTGCAGAGCACAGCATGTGTTCATCCACACTTACCTGCACTTATCCCCTTGTCTTTCTCCTCCCGTAGGACCCCCGTTCATTCCCGGCTTTGCCAGATGCTGGTTGGCACCAGCCTGGGGTTGGTTTCTGCTCCTCTACTGCCAGCTGGGCATGCCCCGAGGACAGTGGTCACTGAGAACCTGCCCCTTAATTTCGTATCTGCTTCCTTAAATGAAACCTATTGGCATGTTCAGATCATTTACCATTTGTTTTGTTACAAACAACCGTGGAATTTTAGATTATTTAATCTATTACACTGTTTTCATATAAAAACCAAAGCTGTATGGCATTACACAAGGACATTTTCCAAGAGGATGGGGACATGAAAGCCAGAACATAGCACCACAGCTGTTTGAGCCAGCCTGGTGTGAATTTTATGCCTCGGTGTGCTGATCCTGATGGAAGAGATGATGTCAGGGCACGTTGTCTCCAGGCCACCTTGGCAGGCAAATAGGAAAGAAAAAAGTTGCAGTAATGTTAAAAGTTTGGGAATAGGCACGGTCTTGGCCTGCTAATTATCAGTTAATGTCCCCTGGCTCACTCTTTTTTCCAATTTTAACTGCTCTCAGGGCTTACAAAGCGTGTAAGAAGTTGTCATTTAGGCATCAATATTAAAGTGCTGCTGAACCAGCACATGCGAGGCTGGAGAACCTGGTGAAAAGGCACTTGGCATTTTACTTTGATGGTGTAGGTCAGATCTGTTAATAAAGGGTCCTTTGTATTCACCTCTCGAGATAGGACGATGACAAGTCAAGAGGAGGATGCACTTAACGCAGACATAACCACTCATTTCGTAGAACTACTATTTTTTATCTGCTTGAACTTTGGAAGGAAAATTGTAAGATAACGCTTTGCCTAAGGTGCATTTAATACAGTGTCATGATCAAGCAACATGCTTGGTTTTTGTTGTTGTTCGTTTTTTTCAGTATTCCCAAAATAAAAGATTTATTTTCAAGAGAGCTTAACTACTCTCAGTAGCCCCTCCGTATTCCCACAACATCTAATATATAAAGTTTTTGCGCAGTGTAATCAGCGATGCTTTCAGAAGACCTAATGGCAAAGCCACATCAAGGTCGGCACAAACGTGCTGGTATTTGGAGGGAGAAACAAAAGGAACAACTGTCCTTGGCAGCCTCAACCCCTCTGGAAATGTTGTGGCAATACTGCTTATCAGATATTGCTTGGGGGCTGGCCAATGCATGAAAAAAAAAAAAGAGTTAATTATTTTTAACACCCACCGATATCTTAATGGCGAGCTTGTTGCAGTGTAACATTTCTTTTTTCTGTCTCGCAGAGTTCATTGCTTCCACTACCTGATCCCGCTGGCTAAACAAGGCAACTATGCCATCGTGGCCAACGTGGAGAGCATGGACTACGACCCCCTGGTTGTCCGGCTCAACAAGGACATCAGTGCTATCGAGGAGGCCATGAGCGCCAGCCTCCAGCAGCACAAGTTCCAGTACATTTTCGAAGGTCAGACAAAAACCTCAATAATTTTCTCAGACAGGGTCTTCTGTGAAGCTCTTTCTTTTGTGATTGCAGTGGCAGGCATCCTACAAGCCCAGCAAAAGTAGATCATAACCCTATATTCCCTATTACCCGACGCCTGATTCCTCGTTGGCTGGGTACTACAGGTTCACAAACTACTCGATGCCTATTACTATACCATATATGTACTATTTTTTTGACCAACCCTTAATTTTTCCTTTTCCTTTTTTTCCTTCTCTCTTGACCATGATTTTTTGTTTTTACTGATTTTGTTCTGCTCGTCCTGTTTTTCTTAGCTATCCTCCTTATCTTGGGACAGTGGGACCTTCCCCTTACCTGCTTAACATACTCCCCACTGCCATGCCCTTGTTGTCTCTGCACAATCACTTTGGAATATGCAAGGTTAGTGGAATTTCCCACTGCAAAAACACCTTCTCCTGCAAAAACACAACTTTGTCTCTCACCCATCTACAGCAAATTGGCTAAGTGCAAACATGCAAACATAGGACAGTCAAATCTTGTTGCTCCCATAGCATTTCTGAGCATTTCTGACCTGGATTCGAGCAGTGGGCCCACGCTGAGCAGGAAGGCAGTAAGGTGATGTACGTGCAGGACATTTTGTGCTTGGGAAGCCGTAGGGTACGTGCGTATATTACAAGCGCAGTGCTATTATGGCACAGTTCCTACCCAAAGTGTAGCTATTCCATTACTAAAATTAAATTTCGAGAACATTAGCTCTTCGGATGTCTCATCTGTCGTGATTACCTTGGAGAATATAAATCACGTCTTGGTTCATCTCCCCTGTATTTATTTGTGGCGCTGACGCACGGTTGTCTTGCCTGCGTGCCGGGGCGCGCGTCCTTCTACTGTGGTGGCTGACAGAGTCAGGAGAGAGGGGGCACTGGAGATGCACCCACTGCACAGAATGGTATTTCAGCAGGGATCAAGGCTTTGCAAGCCTGGTTAGCCTTCTTCTGGCCACCACTGGTCCTAAAAGAGGCTCTCAGTATCTCTGAGTGCCCCCCACAAACCTGTGAGGCTCCTGATGGTGCTTTTTTTAATCAGGTCTTCTTATCAATGTCTACTCTTGTACTAACCTCTCTACTGAGTAAATCGGGCTGTTTTTTTTGGGGGGGTTTGTAGTGCAACATGAGGGGTGGGTACATCATTCTGGGGCTGACTTTGACTCGTAGCAGCCAAGCTCTGTCCTTTAGCAGCAGAGGGGAGATGGAGACATCATTCAGACTCAAGAAACTGTTCAGGACTGATCAGAGGGAGGCTGCACATCGAGTGCATTGAAATGCAGCTCACTTCTGCTCTTGCAGAGAGTGTACCGTGAAGAAATACCACTCCTTGGTAATAGATTAAAATATTAATATTTTGTAGGAGCAAATAGCGGGCCATTGATCTGCTAGAGAGGGACTGAAAGGGACATTTTGCAAAGCCTGATGATAAATCTGGCAGCATCCTGTAAATATCAATGGCTATGATAATGCAACTTTGATATTTTTTACTATTATTATATGGTTTTTGGTGGTTTTTTTAAGTATATTTTTGCTATCAAAGGAAACCTTGAGGGAAGTCCTACTAAAATTCACAGGGAAGGTGAAGGCAATTTCCGGATACAGTCTGGCAGATCTCCTGTTCCAGTTCACATGCACCCCTTAACAGCACTCACTCATGGGTTTTATAGCAAATTACCGTTACTAAATATCTTCCTCCTGTGACTTCATTGTTTGATTTTTTTCTTCCCCCTCGCAGGTTTGGGCCACCTCATCTCCTGCATTCTGATCAACGGCGCCCACTATTTTAAGCGCATCAGCGAGTCTGGCATCAAGAAAATGTGCAGGAACATCTTCATCCTGCAGCAAAACCTGACCAACATCACCATGTCCCGTGAGGCTGACCTGGACTTTGCAAGGTGAGCTGGGGACCCTATTTTGTCTTCATTACTATTTTGATGCCCTTGTGCAGGGTGGCAGCTCCTTCCAAAGGTTTCACCACTCACTGTGTGTGCAACTGGATGAAGACAATGAAGTTGGGGGCGCAGAAATGTGAATTGAAATATTTACTTTCCTCCTCGTTGGGTGGGAGATTCAATTGAGATGCTGTTCAGAGCAACATGGGAGTTCACCATCAGCTCACAGTGGAGGTCCCACCAAAGTGTCTGTGCTTGGGGCTTCCCGTTGGTGTGGTTCCCTTAAGACCTAAACCCAGGCAAGGACGAGTTTCTAGGTACAAGTCCTGCGTGGAATTTAAGCTGGTTTGATCCAGGGTCTTGATTCGTGCCCAGGTGAGTAATACTTTGGTTTGTCAAAGGCTTAAATTTTTAGCCACTCACAGTAGTGTGTGCGAACCTCAGGGGTGCCAGCTGTTGTCCTCCCTTCAAGTTCTGTTGCTCTCAAAATGATAGCAATACTAAAACACCACCAAAACTGGTCATGACAGCTCCCCTGAAAGTTTCTCATCTTGTCCTGCTGCTTTATCCACTGAAAGAGCATCTCTTGAGGACTAACCACATGCGTAAAAGCAAAAACTAAACGGGACCATCAGCAGAGCTGTGTTGGCCAAGCCTCTGTGGCTGCAGCTGGTTCAGCAACAGGCAGCTGAACCCAAGAAATAGCCAAAGTAGGAGGCTGGAACTTGCCGTTTAAGGCATGTAGATCAAATGACAAAAGTTTTGCATGAGGCTCAGCTGTGACCCACCACAAACACTGGGAATTGTTGGTGTCACCGCTTGGCCATCGCTCACGGAGACTGAATTACGAGTGGCGTGACTCCCTCAGATGAGGGAGAGTAGGTATGGCCGAGTGCCTCATTTACTTGGGCTCTCATATGGGGAATGATCTCATTATTGAATTAGTCTTTTCATAATAACATTGACATGGGGAAGTTATGAATGCTGAGGCCTGGGGGAGAGACGGAGAGTGAGAGCGCTAGATCCATTACCAACTCTCCGAGGAATAAAGTTCCCAAATTCAATCTTTCCTTTTTTAAACGATTTTTTTTTCTCCCTGATCCTTTGAAACGTTAAATAAATTAGCCCAGTTTTTTTTTTGGCAGGCAGAACAGGGCTTGAGCACGTGCTGACAACAACTGGCACCCAGATAATGAGCTGCTGACCGAGCGCTGCTCGAAGTTGGCGTGATGTGGCCAGCCCTTCTCCGGAGGGTCTTTGCCATACGGGCTGAACAACCACGGAGAGAACAGAGCTGTGACTTGCAGAGCTGCATAATTTGACATGGGGTTTGAAGGGAAGGGCGAGGAGGGAACGTGTTCCCCCCTCCTCATCTTGCTTGATGGATGATGTGCCATACCGGCGGTTTTCACGATAGCGAGCGCACGTGTACCAGCCTGCCTGGGCTGTAGGGTGAATAGTTTTTCTCCTGGGTCATTTGGGCTGCTGAGGGCCATCACAGAGAGCTGTGGAGCTCACACGAGATACCTGAGCTCTCTACACAGCTGCATCAGCTGCTTTGAGGTACCTGCGATGCAGATTTCATCCCATAATACAAATTCAACTTATTTTTTTTTTAGCTTTCATGACTGCATTGCTTCCCTCTTTCTTTCGGGGCAGGTTTCTGTGATCTGCAGAAGATGTTTTATCCTTTCTGTTCCTCAGATGACTCCTGAATGCTCATTATCCAGATTCCCCTTTTACATAAACAAGGTGTTTCACGCATCCGAACCCTGCCCTGCTCACCTGAATTTACAATTACCCGAGCAAGTTCTCCTCTTACCCCAGGGACTCCAGTTACCGAGGTCGATTCAAACTATAAAACAAACAACTGTTCACACCTAGAAAGCATAAAATAGCGTCAACGTAGGATAAAAGTGGTTCGTACTTCTATCATATCTCTCATGCAGAAATCTGTAAATGCTTTGTGTGGTAGCTGACTGTCAGTTTTGCCTTTTTAAAGATGAGGAATGCTCACCTGCTCTTCCTTCTCCCTACACCTCGTGTTAGCTGGACTAAATTCCTTCCCTGCCTTCACTTTGCAGAGAACTGGGTGATTATTATGGCATGGGAGAGGAGATCTAACCCAGCTGGTGGCTCTCTGCACCATCTCTGGCCTTTGGAGGCAGTTCCCCTTATCCAAAATAATTCAGCTTTCAGGAACTTCATCAGAAGTCCTTGGCTCCTCCGAACAGGGAAGGATGTAATAGGTTTTGTGTCTTGTTTTTTTCTCACACACACACACAAAAAAATGTTTTTCTCGTGTTGTTGCAGAGCTCTTTGTCCTCCTGGCTTGATCTAAGCCTCAGCACCCCTGTCCTTTTCTGCAGGTGAACACATTTAAGTGGCATGTGCTGGAGTTTATGGCAGAAAGCAGACCATTCGAGTAAGGGCCTCAGGACTTTCAAGATTTCCCTGGACATTGTGATTTTGATTTTGTGTTTGTTGTTTTTGTTTTTTTTTTTTTTTTCCACTTTTGGTATGTTCTTCAAGGCTTTCTATGGGCCCCAAAGAGCACTGGGCATCCCCTTTCTTCTCTAGTCTCAGCTGGTGACTTCTCAGAAACCCCAGTCAGGGAAGGTGGAAGGGAAAGATCTTCCTCCTCTGAAGCCAAAATCACACAGAGGATACACGGCAAATCCTAAACCATGCAGCACTTGCTGGTTCTGGTGAGACTCTTGCTGTTTAAACCACATTCTTCAAAAGATTTGTAACCTGCAGGTGACAACAGGCTCTGGCAAGATGTGTGGCTTTGGGAGCAGTACCATGGCAGGGGGAGAAATGTTTCAAATGAGTTTTTCTTTAAGATTCTCAGTTTAAGGTGGAGCAGGGCAGGGAAACTCAGCAGAGCATCACGAAGCAGAGGTAGAGCACGTTTCCATTGAAAAAAAGAGAAATTACCAACTTCTGTGAGCTCTAGGAAGGAGTTTCTCCACTGACACACAAAAAAAGGGGTAAAATAGGCTGGTTCTGACTGCTAAGGCATCACAAAAGGATTTGTATCATTTGCTAAATTTCCTGCAAATATGAATAGGTTTTTTTTCCCTTATATGTGTGTTCAGTATCTAGGCCAGCAGAAATGCAGGCGATGATTAGGGCATCTGCTATTGTATTAAAGAAAAAGCAGTATTTTCTTCCTGTAATGGTACCCAGTCACACACTGCCAAGTCTGGAATTGAGCCTGGATTCCAGATACCTCCACATTTTGGGAGTTTCAGACCCAGAATTATATTGATGCCACTACAGGGATAAAAAAAATCATCTTAAAATACGGATTCCAGTTCAGGTCTTTTCCTTTCTGCTTTCCTTCACATCCCCTTTATCCCCTCTAAAATACAACTCTGTGTTTATGCAGAGATTTCATCGGAGGTATTCAGAAAAGACTTGGTTTGGGCTTCAGCCTTATCCTTGAATACAACATCAGTCAGCTCTTAGATGTTCATTTTCCATAAGAAAAAAAAAAAAAAAAACCTTTTCCAACACACAGCAGTGATAAAATTGCCCTTTTCTTGAAAGTTAATTGAGTTGGTTGTGAGGGGAAGGGAGGGACCACTGATGAAATGTGGCCATTTCGTACGAGGCAATGTAATTTCGACCTCGGAGATAAAGGGGTTTGAGTGGTGCTCCTCTTCGTTATGGGCTTTGAAAATGTCCTTCATTCCTTAAATAGTTTGCAGCACGGAGATCCAGAGGTGGCTGTGAGCCTACGAGTTAGATCAGAGGTTTTCCCTGCTGCTGCTGCCATTCAGGTTAGCAGCTGCTTTGGCCATCCACCCTGCAGGGACCAGAAATCTCTTTTCCTGTGGCTGAAGACCTTTCTTTACCAGGGCCCTTGGCTTTGACCACATCCTTCTGACAGATGTGGCACCCACGTTGGCGCTGCTGGAGGATCCCAGCCGCTTGGAGAGGTCCCCAGTGGCCAGGCATGGGGAGAAGGCATCAGCATGCTGGGCAGTCGTCCTCAGATCAGACACAGATCAGCCCTTGCAATGTAGAGCAGATGCCTGGGATCAAATGTGTCTGTCTGTATACAAATTCTGCTCAAATTGTCATTGTTCACAAAAGAGAATTGACCTTTGCTTCCTCTCCCCGGCCAAATACAGCTGCAGCTGCTGCTCTGACCCTGTTCCTTCGTGGCCCTGCTCTCCCAGCGATACCCGTGATGCTGCGATGTCCGTGCTTGTCTCCTTACATCCTCGGGGCAAGCACCCTGCACCCCTACAGCCAGCAGGAGAATTGGGAGGATTGCACCAGCTCTTGTGCTGGTTGCAAAGTGAGCGAGCACCACCAAGGCGTTTGGAGGAAGCTGTGGGTAAAATGAACACCACTTAACCTCCATCAGGTCCTGGAAGCACGCCTTGCCCCAGAACCTGGCATTATTTGGGTGGCAGGGCGGTCCCATCCCACTGATTCTTGCACTGGGAGAGCTGGAAAACGCCCGCTAATCCCAGCAGGAACAGCCTCGAACCACAGCAGTGGGATTTCGAAGGGGGCTTTATTCCAGAGCACAGCTCTGGCTTGGATGCTCAGCACGCAGGGCTCCTTCCCTGCTACAGCCAGCAGGCAGGGAATGTTTTTTGTGGGATTGTGCAGGGGCAGGAGAGGTTTGTGCCTCTCTCCTGATGCACAAAGCTGGCCCAGGCAGGGCGAATAAGCAATAACATGCTGCCATCTACTGGGTGCTGCAGAGGGAAGGGGAAGCTGGTGTGCCTGAGAGATCCCTCAGCCATCCCAGTGCTCTGAAAGAAGTCCTTTCCGTTGCCAAATATTATTTCTCTTTCCAATTTTCTTCTCGATAGATAAAGAGCAGGCTGTGCTTCCTGCCTGAGGGTGCAGCTGGCTGAAGGAGGCCTCCGTCAGGAGGTTTTTTGATGCTGGTTTCGTGCGTGTTGGACCCCAGTTTCAGGTGTTGGAAGGATGCTGCAGGTAGAGCTGGGCATAAATGGGGGGCAGACTGCTACAAG